AGCATGTGCGTGCATGCCCAAGATCCCGAGAGGAGAATGGAGGAGAAGGGATTGCGGCGTGACCATCCCCCCAGGGGGTGATTTCTCTCTTTCTGTCTCTCTGTCTGGCGAGCGCACGCGCCCTATAGTGAAAACCTCTCCAAAAAAAAGAATTATTTTTATTGAATTTGATTTATATTTTTGTGCATTCATTTGACTAGAGAAGGACAGAGTGAGAGAGAAAAGGGGGGAAAGTGAGAAAGCAAGTTGCCAAGTCCGGGACTCAAACCACAGTTGGCCATGTGGGAATCCAGCGCTCCTAACCACACCACCTGCCGATCCCCCCATCTCTCTTCCTCTCTCTTCCTCTGTCTCTCTCTGGTCAAATTAAAATAAGTAAATAAGATTATATAAAAATAATTCTTTTATTTTTTGGAGAGGTTTTTGCCATAGGGTGCGTGCACTCACCAGACAGAGTGAGACAGAGAGACAGAAAGCAAGAAATCACCCCCCAAGGGGGATGGCCACGCCGCAATCCCTTCTCCTCCATTCTCCTCTCGGGATCTTGGGCATGCAGCACATGCGCCCGGCGTGAGTTTCAAGCCACCGGGTCTAGGACGCGAACCGTGATTGGCTACATGGGAGTCCAGCGACATAGCCATTACGCTAACTGCTGGTTCCGATGAAACAATTTTTAGACATCAGCTCGCACTTTAATCCCGTCTAAGAACGTTTCCAGTTCCCCTTGTACTCGCTGTCTAACCTGATGCTTGTGAGAATAAAAAGGGGGCGAGGCGGCTCACCCGACGGCAAAAGAGTGAAAAGAAGGGCCCTCATGGACTGTCTCGATGGCTGACCCCGCGGCCTCGTAGCGACGGCAGCTAGAGACGACACGACAGCAGCTAGAGACGACACGGCTGACCCACGTTTGAATCCCAACCCCGGAGGCCCGACAAACACGCTGGGCACTTGTGAGCAGGATGGAGAACTGGAGACGGGATTGCGGCATGGCCACACTCCATCGGCAAGCGCTCTCCACCCTGTTCCCTACCTCTTTC